TTTTTGTACATCTCCACAACAGAAGAAGCAAAATAGAACCCTCGAATGGTGACAAATTCAGACACTATCATCTCATAAAGTTCATCCACAATGCTCAAATCTTCCTCGTCCTCTGTAAGTAACTGCCACTGGTTTATTACCTCTTCATTTTCACATACTTCTTTGACTATCTCTTTCTTTTCTTTTGGTTCCAGAACTGCTCGTTTTAAACGGTAATATTGTCTAAGTTTGACTTCCATGTGGTAAAATAGACGGTAGATAGCTGTAGAGACCTGATAAAGACCACCTCTATTCATGATGTGTGTCCATTCTTCTGAGTGGTCATTACTGTCGACCTCGTCAGTTCCACTAGCGCTGTTCATAAACAGTAAAAGGGTGCGTTGGTGTTCATGGTTAGATTTCACTATTTGTGATGTAATCTTTTTCCATAGATAGCCAGCAAAGTATCTCAATGCGTTTTGTTCAATGGTGTTTAGTTCCGGAATCAATGCTGCTTCATGTTCTTGTGAAACTGAATATTTTTGGTCAACATAAATGGTAAGAATGCCCTGAGTTATATACTGGTAGAAAGCTGGGCCTGAGTTGCATCTGATTGATAGCTTCAGAAACGTTGACCAAGTAGCATGAAAAGCATCGGAGGTCCTTAGAGCATGGAACTGTGTACAAATGTACTCCCTCTCTGATTGTAAGCTGCTCTTTGTAGTGAAGCAAGATTTGATACTGCTTACAAGGTATCGTGAAAAAATTGTGAAGATTTGTTTATATGGAAGTACTGCCCACTGAATGAAGGTATTTGCTGCTTTGATTAGTGATTCCTTTTGTGGTGTCATATGTACATTGTATGTGAAGGCTGTTGTCGTCAAGCAACACTCTAACTCCTTTGATTATTACTTCACACATTTGTACATCTATTGAGAAAGAGTTATCTATTTATTAATAAAAGTGAATTGATTTACCTTCATTGACGACACTATCTGAATTCTCAATGGGATCATCTGTAGTAGTAGTAGTCGTGGTGGTGGTAGAAGCATTTACTGTCACTAATATTAAAATTTCAAATATCACCAGTATTACAAATGTTTTGTACCTGTAGTATGTGTCATGTTGTTATCAATCTTTTTCCTTCTTTTTTGCAGTGGTTGACTGTCATATTCTGATCCATTTAAATCGTCATTTCCTCTACAATTCGATTTGACAGAACCTCTGCATACAGTGTTGACAACTCGGAGGGTCTATGTATTCTGTTGAAATTCCTTAACAGTTGGATTGTCGTGAGTTCTTTCAATTTGGCGCTGACAACCAAAAACTTTCAAGAGGATCTTGACATATGCGCCTGCTAAAGAAGACCTTTACGTCTGGGAGTGTGAAAAGGTACTGCACTATCTCAATGAATGACTTTGCTGTATATACATGTAAGTATATGTAAAATTATTGCATATCATAAGTACATGCTTACTAGTCATTCTCAATCCATCTAATGTTTCAGTGCTCAGTGTCATAGCTTTTTTCTCAGCATTTGTTACTTCTTGACTTTTTACACTGGTGTCCCACTCATCCAGGTAAGATAGGAATGTATCCTCTAACCACTATGACGCAGAATTATACAAGTCTCTATTTAATCAAAATGATTGATTATATACCTGAAGTCTAAAGTCTTTTCCAGAATAATATGGATTTTGAAATGTCTTCCTTTTGTCTTTTTCCATCTGTGAAGTTTCCTACATTTAAGCAGTCAAAGAATTTATCAAAGATGTCAACAAAATGAGCTGTTTCTTGTGCTGCTTCTCCTCCATATAGTGTAAGTGCCTTTGATACAGATTCACTTAATACCTAAAAATTTATTTTGATTTACATAATATTGGCTATTTTATTACATTAGCAGCTAAATCCACTCGCATTTTAGAAAAGTTTGTCAGATTTAAGTGTTCATATTTTAAACGAGGGAGCAATATCAAGCCACTTTCTGACCTAGACCTTGAATATATGTCTTTCAGGTGATCCCACGAAATTTCTTTGCCATCTTTCTATGAAAGGCATGGCTTACATGTAAGTTATAAAATGTATCTTACCCATAAATTTCGTGTTGGAGATGCCCAGCAATTTCGTACTGTTTTAAGTAGATGAGGTGGATCTGAGAAGAAGAAAAAGCATCTGGTGTTATCAGTCACATAGGGATTGAGTGTCTTGTGAATTAGATATCTTCTTTCGCTATGTAATCTGATTAATCTTCTGTTTATGGAGGCTCCATCAGATGTACTACCAAGTACCTAGAATGTGTACATTACTCATAATATACAATACATGTAGTTACATTAATGTACATGTACATTGTATTCCCAATAAAATTTACGCTTACATGAAATTCATTCCTTTCTAGCCTGCCAATGGCTTCCCAAAATGGGCCAAAGAGCAAGTATCCAGTGACATTTCTACTTGGGAAGTATACATAAGGGAATTCAAGTCTACTGAATAACCCTTTGACCATAAAAGTCATCATCGAATTTGATAGTAGCTCTGGCGGAAGATCAGAATCATTTGGAGAATTAACGACAGATTCAAGCTGATTTGAAATGTCTCCTAAACTCGTAAATCCAATTAGTTCACCTACATGTACATGTATAAAGTAAAATTTATATATACTACCGTATACGTCGTAATTTCCGTGGGTTCAAAATTTTGTGGTTTGTGATAGTTTTGCTACAGAATTAAAATTGGTGGGTGATTAAAATTCGTGATCGCCGCGCACGTGATGGGTTAAAATTTCCTCGATTTAAGCTGGCTACGAAAATAAACTAAAATTAACCCACCACGGAAATTACGACATTTACGGTATATACATGTAATTACATTAATTTACCAGTATTTTTATCAAAACGCCAAATCTTCTCTGATATGCATTTCGTCAAGCAAAATGATAACATTTCTGTCTCTTTCTTCACATTCATTTAT